CACTACATTACCACTAAAATAATAATAGCACAACTACAGCAAGCTCGTATTACTAAACATTTCTTCCCTATGACGGCAGAACACAACACCACACCAAAGATTACTGAATGACGGTGGTCTACAAGTAGATGTAGAGCACAACTAGCATCCACTGCGATTTACGAAGATGGCAGAATAAAGGCCGTAACTCGTCTGTCAAATATGATCTGACAAACATCTATATGAGTTGACGAGATAAGACCCACCTGCAGCAGCGGATGATTTTTCTCCGACTTTGGGAACTCCACCGGCTGGTCTCCGAACAGGCCCTTGGCGAAAAACCGGCCACTCTCCCGGGCACGCTGCTTCACGGTGCTCTGAAACTGGCAGGTCCATCCGGCCGCGTCAGGCTTAGATCCGACCAAGGCAAGCGATGTAACGCATGGTCAAGTGAATAACCGACGGTAAATGTAACCCCCACCTTTCCCACCATACCATTGCTAGACTAAAATAAATGTCTCTCCATGCTGTTTGCGGGCTGTTCAATGTAAACCCATACATACCTCAGGTTTCTGTCAGAGCTATATCATCACTTTGTGTTTGCTGGCTTCACAGTTACCTTATGATTCTCGGAACTGTTACCTTGTGTTATTACCCCTACCTTGTGTTCTTTCCCCTGCCTTGTACCATTACCTTCCCTACCTGATGTCATTCCCTCCCCTACTTAGTGTTTCTCCGCACTATATTAACTCCTACCTTTTGTTTCTGCGGACTATATTAACTCCTACCTTGTGTTTCTCCGGGCTGTATTAACTCCTACCTTGTGTTTCTCCGGACTGTATTAACTCCTACCTTGTGTTTCTCCGGACTATATTAACTCCTACCTTGTGTTTCTCCGGGCTGTATTAACTCCTACCTTGTGTTTCTCCGGACTATATTAACTCCTACCTTGTGTTTCTCCGGGCTGTATTAACTCCTACCTTGTGTTTCTCCGGGCTGTATTAACTCCTACCTTGTGTTTCTCCGGGCTGTAGGGCGGCCCCAGCAGCGTGGGGAAGCGGCGCTGGAACCGCTTTGCCATATCAAACAGCTCCTGCTCTCCGGACGGCGTCAGGTTGTTCTCCACCGACACGTCAAAGGCCAGGCTCCAGGAACGGATGTTGGTTAGGTCCTGTTCACACAGCTCGCCTAGAGGGGGAGGGGTGAGGTCAGAGCAGAAAGAGAGAGGCGGAGAGGAGGAAAGGAGGTTGTAGGGGTGTTCATGAATTACACTACATAATGGAGGTGTTAACCCTCGCCCGTATAGGGGGGGGGGGGGTCGAACGGACCCCCCCATGGTTTTTCGCGAATAACTCGCGTAAAAAGCGGCCGATCGCGACGAAACTTTCAGTACCCTCGCGTGCATCAATTTCACACCTACCCTGAAAATTTCATGACCCTGACCCAAATGACCTTTGACCTGTGACCTACTTTTCGAGACCATGTTTGGCTGGAATCGAGATTCGGCGTATGTCGGCTCGCATTAGCCGCGCGTTTGCAGTCTTTTCGTGGTTTCAAGCGTTCAAACATGTGATATGATGTTGCCCCCATGCATTAGGGTGGATGTCAAGGTCACCTGAAGGTCAGGTCAGGTCAATGACCTTTGATGACCTCGGTTCACTTTTTCGAGTTTTACATGTTTCTAGGTCAGTTTTTGGAGCTGAATTCGAATTTAGCAACCATATGAACATTTACGAAGTAGTTTTGGTGCCTTCGTAACATGTTACGAAGCTGTCAGAGGCGGTTGCCACCTACTACGAATACCCTTACTGGTTGACCTGACCTGACCTGACCCGACCTGGCCTAAATACATGAAGACATCATCTGTGATCAAAACTAACATGATATTCGTGATCAGCACCCCGAAAAACCCCATAGCAGCCACACTTTACGACGTTCTAACAGGTCCCGATTTTCCCGTCTTTGGGGTCATTGACCTGACCTGCAAGGTCAACCAATGACCTAGGACCTTAAAATTGGGTATCATCGGCTTCCTCTCGTCACGGGCAACACGCTCGTTTTTTCCGCGAAGCTCTAGCTCGATCAGGGGCGAAACGGCAAGGGGGGGTCCAACGGACCCCCCCCCCCCCCCTTATACGTTCGCGGCTGGAAAAACACCAATACGGGCGAGGGTTAATGCGTCACTAATATTGGCATACCATCGCCTCATGTGGATGACGTACCTAATCATTTCCGAATTGTTGCAATATAAGCAAATATTTCATACACTCTATGCTTCTGCGTCCAAACCAACATCATTTACTGTATAATGTACGCCATCATTTGGGTACAAAAAAAAAAAACAGAAAAAATGCCCATAACCTTTACTATCTAAATACATCCTTCGCGTAGCCCCTCCCCCCCCCAAAGTTTATCCTCTGAAACTTCTACCCTCCCTCCTCCTCCTCTCCCCTCTTAACGTGACCTTACCTCTGCCCTCTGCCGCGTTTTTCAGCGCCGTTTGCTGCAGCTCCGGCAGACGGCGTGCCATCAGTTCGATGTCGTCCTCACCCGGGTACCGGGTACCGTGACGAGCCGTGAGCCAAAACTGGGCCGGTCGACAGCCTGAGGAGGACGGGGGAGGTGAGAGAGAAAGAGAGGGAGGGGAGGGGGAGAGGGAAGGAGAGGGGGTGGAATTCAATACCTCCGCTTTGCTACACTTGTATCATAAAACAAACAAAAAATCCGACCTCAAAAGCTCGTTGAACCATAGCCTCATCCATCATTTTCGAGAAAGCTTGGGCAATGCATCAGCAGAAACACTCATTCTCATTTAAACACCAACCGATCCAACATTTGAAACTGCCTGGCATCCGTAATCCCCTCAGCTAAGAACACTACCCTAAAGAGTTAGAAATAACCGGAAGACAGAAAAACTGGAAGGCTTAGCATAATAATCCTAAAAACAAAATCAAAACGTTTTCGGCACTCACCGGGGAACTTGACTTCCGAGTCATCTTTGTTTAGCACCACAGAGTACGGCGTCTTGGTGCCAAAATGGGTGTACGGCTCTCCGACGGTGGCATAGCAGGCCTGGTTGTCGTCCTGAGCAATGACGCACGTGTGGTAGAGAAGGCCGGCAATCAGCACACCCAGGAGCCCCATCAGGGGGGACTGCAGAACGAGGGAAAATGTGTCAGAGGGGCGCAGGCTTCGATATGCGTAACGCAACTTTAAACTTAAAAGTTTTTATACTAAGCTGAAACTGCTTTGCCGGTCCCGTAGCTCAGTTGGTAGAGCGTTGGACTCCGCGTGGTGAGAGCACGCGTTCCCGGTTACAATAGTCCGGGTTCAAAGCGCGACGGGCGCTTGACATTTATGGGCCTCCTGACAGGTATGGTTGCGGTTGGTGGCAGGCCGTAGCCAGGTGAAGTCAGTGAGGGGACCGGCCGTGCGCGGCTATGTGCGCACGTTAAACTTTGGGACTCTAAATTCTGCCATAGAACTGGAATTGCGCGATCGGAGGGTAGAGGGCAGGGTCACCGCAACAAGCTTCGCTTAGCGGTGGCTCTGTCCTTGTGAATCCTTCCCATCAAAAGATTCGGACTAAATTTATAAAAAAGTAACTCGATGAAAATGAACTACAAACGCATCCGTAAAAAGACCATTTCTAGTCCTTGAGAGCAGTCTCAGCTCTCAGCTCTGTCAAATCTGCAGCGAGGATGATCGACCCCGCCCTGAGTTTTAATTACCAGAGGAAAATCCGGCAATAGCGTCCCCTCGTCGTACCATCGCGTGTCTCGTGCGCAGTGACGTAAGAGACCACGCCTCTATGTCAAACTAGCTCGTAATTAAACGTGAGGAGTTTTACACGAGATCACGCATCGCGATTTTAAGCCCGTCAGCTTACAACTACTCCCGGACATAGCGTTATTCGGCTAAAAACACCAATCACACATCATCCGTTTGACAGAGCCTACTGACAAGACGGCCACCCTCCCTGCTCGAATCACAGGAAAGAAGCCACCGTTCGGAAGAGCCGCACGGAAAGAGAGGAAACGCGAGAGACGAATCATGACCTTGAGATGAGCGGGGAGGAAGAAGACGGAGTCCCACGTTCCCAGGCGGGGTCCGCTGACAGTAATTTGTGTTTTCGGGGACACGAAGGTGGCGGAATGCACTGGAATAAAACGGATGGTTTTGAAGACACTGGCGGCAGTGTATCAGGGTAGCCGGCTCGGGTGGATGGGTGATAGAGGACTGGTACAATGAAGGTGAGAGACGAGTAGCAAAAAGCGGTTTAAGCAAGTCGCGTCATTTTTGCTGATGAAATTGTGGTGCATTGGTGCTCATTCACAAGATAGTCGAATCGCATTCAATGAATAATTATTGGTTTAACGGTGCAAATGAACGTTCACTTTTTGCTTGCTGTGTTTTGTTGTGTAATTCGTGTAGGACCCTTATTGCTAATCAAGTTCACTTTCCTATGCGTAACCGTAATACGTTACTTTGTTACGTCTAAGTTCGTGCGTGCGTCATTAAGACGATCCTTTTACACTGCGCGGAGTTCCGTGCTTCTATAAATAAACGAGTCTCGTATTCCACTGGACAAGCTATTTTGTCAACACGTCTGAGTCACCTCCACGTATCCCCACCTCACCCTTATACTACACCGTTCCGTCTTCAGATTCTCCTACTCATATCGGCGTGCGTGGCAGCAACCCTCGCGGCGACCCAGGAAGGGTTCAGCGCACCGCCGCCGCCTCAGCCGCGATACAACGCGCCGGGAACGCAGCAGGAGCCGCAGCAGCAACCACAGTCACCAGAGTCGAGCTACAGTCAGCCGCCTCAGTCAACCTTCAACCAGCCACCAGAGCCGTCGCAATCGGGATTTAACCAGCAGCCTCAGTCCGCTTTCAGCCAGCAGCTTCAGTCTGGCTTTAGCCAAGAGCCACAGTCAACTTTCAACCAGCCGCCACAGTCAAGCTACAGTCAGCCACCGCAGTCGGGTTTTAACCAGCAGCCACAGTCTGCTTTTAGCCAGCCGCCACAGTCTGGCTTTAGCCAAGCGCCGCAGTCAAGGACGCCACAGTCAACTTTTGACCAGCCACCACAGTCAAGCTACAGTCAGCCATCGCAGTCAGGATTTAGCCAGCAGCCACAGCCGGGCTTTAACCAGCAGCCACAGTCGGGTTTTAACCAGCAGCCACAATCGGGTGTTAACCAGCCAGCGCAAAATGGCTTCAACCAGCTGTCATCTCAAGCGGGCTTCAACCAGCCGTCTCAGTCAGGCTTCAACCAGCCCGAGTCGAGTTACAACCAGCCTCCTCAGTCAGGCTTCAACCAGCCCGAGTCGAGTTACAACCAGCCTCCTCAGTCAGGCTTCAACCAACCCGAGTCGAGTTACAACCAGCCTCCTCAGTCAGGCTTCAACCAACCCGAGTCGAGTTACAGCCAGCCGTCACCGTCGAGATTCAACCAGCCACCACAGTCGGGTTTCAACCAGCCACCGCAATCCAGCTTTAATCAGCCTCCACAATCCACCTACAGCCAACCGCCACCCGAGGCCAGTCAGCAGAACTTCGGTGTGGTTAATCCACAGGGTGGCTTTGGAGGACAGAAAACCGGGTTCGGTCCCCCACAAGGAGCTATTGGGCAGCAGCCGAATGGAGTTGTCGGTCAGCAAGGAGGTTTCACCGGTCAGCAAAATGCGTTGGATCGTCCCGTCGGCTCCCCTGGTTTCGGAGCCCAGCAGGGCGGTTTTAGACGCCAGCAAGCGGGTTTGGGGGCCCAGCCGGGCGCTTTCGGGACCCAGCAAGGTGCCTTTGGAGCTCAGCCGGGCGGTTTTGGAGCTCAGCCGGGCGGTTTAAGAGGTCAGCAGGGCGCCTTCAGAGGTCAGCAAGGCACCTTCAGAGGCCAGCAGGGCGGTTTCGGAGGCGCCCCCGGTGCCGGGTACGGCTCTCCTGGTCCCTTGGATGGGAGCTACTACGGACCGGCCCAATACGCGTTTCAGTACGAGGTCAACGACCCCACTTACGGTGAGTATGGGAGAATGATATTTAGGTATTTTGGATAAGGGATCTTCCAGTGATTATCAACAAGCGTGACAAATCATATGTCAATCGTATTCTGAGAGACTTCATCAGACCAATGTCTGAGAGTCTAACTAGGTAGCGTCAGTGAGCCCTGCTGGACTGGGAGGGTCTAGGTGGCGCTGAGGTAGGCGAAAGGTCACAATAGCATGGCCCAGTCCACCTCGGGACATGTTTACGGTTTGGTACGCTCCTGTCTTACAGAGGGTAGCAGAAATTCACTCTAATCTATCAGCTGTAAAACTTGAAAATGCTTCAGTGAACAAGCAACCAGGGCCTCTAGTTCGTAATCCCTTTTGAACTGTTCTTAGCATAAAATGATCTCACTATCGGTCATCCGATCTAGCAATTCATCGCCATCATCCCCATACCTCCATACCTCCCCCATACCCAGATGCTTCACACACCCTAAGCTGATCTCAGCTGACCGCTCCGCCCCCTCCCCAGGTACCCAGTACTCCCGCCAGGAGAGTCGCGAGGGCGCCAACACGCAGGGCTCGTACCGTGTGCTGCTGCCGGACACCCGTGTAATGATAGTCAACTATAGAGTGGCGGGTGATCGGGGATACGAAGCCGACGTCCAGTACCAGGGCGAGGCTCAGCCTTATCAGGTGAGGCGGGGAAGGTTAGGTGATATTGGGGAGGGTGTTAGGGGAAGGGAGGGACCTGTCAGTTGAAATGGGGGAGGATGAGGGACTAAGAGTGTATGATGAGAGGGCAGCTGAGGGTGCAAGCCTGCAAAAGTCCCTACATTAAAAAGGGCAAAAGAGAAGGATGAGTGACATATCCTCCAACTGATGGTGGGAAAGAAATAGACTGGGCCCTGGGGATTGGGAAATAGGGACATGTCGTTAAATCTGGTGAGAGAAGGGCTGACAGATATGATGGGTTGGTCTTGGTGCTTATTGCCTAGAGACGTGATAGAAAACAGATAATAGTTACTAGTATTTGAATCAGAATTGTCAAAGATGAGGGAAGATATGACATAGGAGAGAAAGTAAAAACTGAATAATTGACCTATCATTCTTGCTCTTCTCATTTCAGCCACCAGTCCCCGGATACGGCCCTCAGCGGCAGCAGTTCCAGAACAGACCTGGTGCGGGTTACCCACTGCAGAACCAGGTACCTCAGCAGCAGCCGCCTCAGCAGATACGACCGCAGACGCAGCAATTCCAGCCACAGCAGCCGCAGTACCAGGGTCGATTCCAGGGCAGGAGGTAGAGCGGCGGGCACAAAAGTCATCATGGTGACATCAGTGCTACTTTGGCTCACAATGGATGTAAAATAGGATTTGGATATGAAAAATGAACTTGGATTAGATAAGAGGTCCTTATGTTATATGTGTTGCGTGTGTGCCAATGTCTGTCAATTTCATGTCGAAGCTAAAGGGCAGGTGTTTTAGTTAGGCACTTATGTGTACATGCTTTACGTAAGCTTTAAATAGATACTGCCAAACCAGAGTTGCTTGTCCATATTGTGTCTTATGTTTTCTGCCTCAAAATAATAAAACGTATTTAATTAGCAATTAGCATGCTTATGAATCCTTGAAAATGAGCATTTCAGAATTTGATCTTAACAGCATCAGGGTATTTAATGATAAAATATAATCAATTTATGAGCATCGAATCAAGGAAAAACAAACAAACCCTCAGTTTTTAATTTGCAATTTGCATTAATTTAAACCTCAATTTGAATGTTTAGGAGTACCTACTCGGAGTAGGTACCTAGACCTACAAAGGCAAAACATTTCCATTGCAGTCCTCATCATAATGCTAACAGTGAATAGGTATAGAAAAGCGCCATAGAATCTACTGACCTTTGAGAAACGAGCCTACCTTTAACTGTCGGATTTACGAGGATAAAATAGGAATATTTCTTGGAATAATTGCGGTCTATGCAAGCTGTGTATTTCAATTTGACATCAACATTGCACTCTCTTGCGCACGATTTGTTTACATTAGGGAACGTCTCACGAGCTCCATCAATGCCTAAGCAGATATGGCAGCTGTAAATGCTACCAAATTCCATAGTAGAAAAATCCCTTTCCAACAGTGAAGGAGCCTTAGGATAACGAACGAAGCGGCGCAGCTCAGGCAGTGGACTGGTACTGATCGTAACATCAAGTTACCAGCTCGTTTTATGTAATTTTTAAGCAAACACGTATCCAGGACTGTTCAAAGAGATGATCGCTGTGTTAATCGTTGAATTAGGTACTGCACGAGTAATCGGGAACATTGTGACAATGAACACAGAGGCGGATCCAGCTCAGAGGTTTGGGGGGGGGGGGGGCAAACCATAAAAATTTATCGATTCTTTCCATGCATCGTCCATAGGCGTAATGTTAAAATCATGCCGTTTGGGGGGGGGGGGGCAAATGCCCATTTTGCCCCCCCCCCCTGGATCCGCCACTGAATGAACACGGCAAATTACTCAAGTTGAACGTATTAGTAAAGTAATCTCGGTTGAACGTATTCGAAATTCCAAAGCTGTCGATAGAAATCAATGATGATGCTGTTGCAAACGTTTTCAATGACCAGGTATGAATTTCTCTGTCCCGGATAAATACTAACACTAAACCCGCGTTCGATGTCTCTCGGACGGCGAAGATTCTATGTCGTCCGACCAATCCCGTTCAAGGTCAGCGGGGGCTCGGCTGCGGTTATGGAGCGTGATTGGCCGGACCAAGGCCGGACGACGTAGAATCTTCGCCGTCCGAGAGACATCGAACGCGGGGTTACAGTTCTGTCGTACCTACCCTACCTCTACTAGAAGTACCTACCCCACCCCCATCTTCGTTCAGTTACACAATGGTCCCCCTTATTGCCCCGCCCCCTCACAAGTGCGACCACCCGCCTCTGAGCTCACCTCCATCGTTCCTCCGCGTGACATTGACCTTTGATCTTTGACCCGGGTCACTATTCACTCAGTTGCACCACTATCCTCTTTACGGAAGACACAACAGCAAAACTGCCCGTGTGTCTGACTTTGTGACTGACTGTCTTGAGAAGCCACGCCGTGCAAGAGAGACGGCTCGGCAAACACTGGTCTCGCCAGACGAGTTGAGTGGATCCAACTGAATAAAACGGCCCGCAATGCAGCGAGATGATGATGCGATACGGGTGATCGCACCGTAGGGTTGAACGTGAAAATCGACCTTGTGGATGGCGTCAGACCAGTTTGGCTGCTGCAGGATCGGAGTGCATTGTGGTGGGAGTACGTGAATTCAATTCAATTGCACTTACGTTAACGTCATACCTACGGGGGTGGGAGTGCAGATGCACGATGTATCAGCTGCAGCGCTGATGGGGAGATAGGGAGAGAAGGGAGAGGGGAAGGAGAGCGGGGGTGGTAAGGTAACTGGTATACTGCCGTGTGTGACTGAGAGCGAGTCTTTTACAAGATAAGCCACTATCAACCCGAGTGGTTGCATCTGAGTCTGATTCTTTTTAACAGTCAAGTCACCATGACAATGCCAGAATGCCACGGATCATAGCTGAATAACGTGTCATAGTTATTGCACATGTGCCGAACTAAATTGCGTGATCTGTGGAAGACGGCGACTCAGATATGAACGCTGTGATGGGGCTTCCCTGAAATGAAAAAGCTCGACAAAATGCATGCATTGAAGTACCACTGTCACTGTATTTACTGTATCCTGTCTACGACTGGTCGTTAAAAGTCCACTTTGCCAAAAGCATTGACGCTCACATTATGTTTTGTATAAATGAAAGTTCCTCATTCGCTGACCTTGACCTTACCGTCGATTAACACATTAGGTATCTTTTTATATTCCCCTTCACGTAGGTACGTACGTACCTACGCGTGCTTTGCGAAGCTTCGGAGGCGAAATATCCGCAGACGATAAGCATAACTACCGCATGTGTGATCCTACGATTGCTGAGTGGGTGTTATAAGTTATAACACGCAAGCTACACGCTGGCGTGTTGTAGGAACACGCCGGCATCGGATGTTTGTTTTAGTCATTAGAAGCCATGCACCGGTAAGACCAGGGTATATTGAATTAGGGTAAGACAGCATACATTGGCTTGCATAATACTTCTATCGTTCTGCTGGGATCCACTTATGTTTTTTGCGCTGGCCGATGTTTAACTTATGATAACGTTCTTATTTAGACCTACATATTATCCCGTTGTTGCAGTTGATCCTGTGTTGCCATGCCAAGACATAATCGAACACCGTCATATTCTAAAGCGCTAACAAGCCACCTGCACAGGTGCTTTTATAAAAACATCTGTATTGCTTATCATCATGATACATCGTCCTGAAGCAGTTGTCCTTATTTAGAACCACTAGGATGAATACCTATTTTTCTGTTATCCATCTCATAACCTTGATTCTATCAACCGAATACGTTTTAGACTGATCATGACCTGATATCACATTCGGAAACGGTCCAAACACAACTAGTTAACAACTCTGTTTCGGTTGCATCGAATAACGGTTGCATCGAATATCTTTTATCTACCGTGCATGAATGTACCGAAATCTTACGAATTTATTTCATCAACTACCCTCTCTCCTTCATAAATCATTGGCTGACATTCGGAATTTTATTCAGCCGTCAGCTTCGAGACTCGAGTATCTTGGCAGTGGACCAGACTCAGAGGTTCAGGAATGCTTGATACGGCCGACAACTGAAGACCCCGAGGCTAGTGTGAGTCGCCAATGCATGGCAATGGATGGACCCAGGCGACATTTATCGGAGCTATCCTTAGGATTTTTAGTAGAGATGATCATGATAATTTGACACTGACTGATATGTGTTCGTGGCTGGTCAATTGGCACATAAACGTTTAGACGGTTAGACGGTTAAACGCCCCGGCCGTAGCGTTTCGTCTGAACTGGCGGCGATGAAACAAAACGAGAAACTGGCATGCATTTAATCGTGCAAAGTCGGGACTATGGCTGTTGAGACATGGAAACAATCAATGCATGCGTGAAGTTCATAAACATCCCAATTCTCCAAAACAAAATAGGTATGCTTGACTTTGCATTATCATTCCCCGATCACGAATCCATTGCCAACCTCGTCCCTAACCAGAGCCAAAGTCGACACCGTGCTGTCCAAAACACCCTCACGGTCTGGTCTCAGACCTCATTTGACATCTGCTCCCCCATTGACATCCCTGGATGCGCCTTTGCACCTAGGATGACCGCGCCATGTGTCTGGACCTGCCCCACGGCAAGCGGGTCCTGGGCGCGCCCGTGCGCCGCAGGCTCGGGCGGCGGCGGCGGCGGCGGCGGCGGCGGGCCGGCGCGGGGACGGCAAGTCATTCACTACGCGGCATCGACGCTTCCTCGTAGCACGGAGCGCGCCGCTCTCCTCAGCCTTTGCTGTTTTTCGCTGCGGATTGTGTTCAACCCCGATTTCAACAAACGACAATATGGTAGGTGGACATGATTGCGTGGATGGCTGTGATATTTTTATAATGGAAATTAATTAACTCAGAAGATCGATATAAAATCTATCCCTCAGACAAGATTTGTCCTGTTTCATTCAAAGGCCTCTGCAAATACAAATTGTTCGTTGTGTTCCGGCTGAGTTTCATCAGACCATATAGGCCTAATTTAAAAAAAAACTGCAATTGATTTTCACTTCGGACTTTAGGCCGAAACCCGGTCGATTCCTATTTAGGCCCAATATGCGTAATTAATTAAATCTCGAACTGGTGATTGCTGTTTTTAGAGTCATTTGTGAATTTCTTATTTTGACCCACTCTTGGAATAATCTGCCGTTTTTCTGTCTAAACGTTTTGAGTTATTTTCATTATAGCCATCCGTTTCAATGTTCAAACAAACGATACCGATTGATAAGAAGTCGAATAAAACGTAAATGTTGTAAAACCTAAAGAACAGTCTTTTTGTGAGCCAAAACTCACCATATCATAATCAAGTTCCCTGATCCATGCCCACACAAAAAAGTAGTCGAATAGTTCACCAGACGGCACCGGGCCCCGGCGGCATCCCTGGCCCACCTCGTGACCCGCGCGGGTCGTTTTCACGCTGACCCCGCGTGCCCCCGTGACCCCGTGTGCAATGCGGTCACAGAACACGGGGAGGTCTCTCACGACATAGATTGAGGGAGATCGCAGCCGACTGCGCTGTTAACCCGGGGTTCAGTGGTGCAGTGGTTTGGTTTAGGGCTGGTGAAATCGTGGGCGGATTTTATTGTCTCCTTCATAACGTCAGATGGAATTTGCCCCGGAAAGGCTAACCTTTCCGAGGCTTTTTTATCGTATTCGTTTAGCTTGGATAGCACTATTTATTATCTAAACGTTTTCATCAGATGATCATAAGATCTTTCGTTATCTTTTTTCAGTTTTAGTATTATTCAACTCTTGATGAACGTTCAATGCATAGTATTGACTTAGAATATTAAAAGTTGGCCGACCATTAAAACAGCAAAATACCTATACTGATATCGGCACGAATAGAAAACGTTTCCCAAAAGGCCAACCTCATCCGAAACGTACAAACGTTACGTTAAAAACATCGCAATAATTCCGTTTCCTTTTTTCAGCGCGAGTGCATCTCCATCCATGTTGGCCAGGCTGGCTGCCAGATGGGCAACGCCTGCTGGGAGCTCTACTGTCTGGAGCACGGCATCCAGGCCGACGGAACCATCCCATCAGGTGAGGAACACATCTCTGTCTCATCCCTTCAGGGAGGAGCTTTTATACAGGGTATCCCGGAAATTCCTTGACGTTTTTTTTCAGTGGCAATGAAACATTTCAGGGTTTGCATACATGTATTTTATGCATATAATATTAACATCATTTTAAGTTCTCTCTATTTGACGGGCGATTACAGCTTGTCAGAAGTGCTAAAGTCAAATGAAAATTCGACTGGCGTCTGGCGATATGTGTTCATCGCGAATAAATGCAAGCATTGACACCCGATTGGAAATGCTTGAGACTAAATCCTTCGGCATAGACTGCTTCACTCGAAACGCCAGGGCGGGGTCCCGATTATCGTGACTCGGTCGCTATCCGGCCCGGGACTGCCGTTTGTATAGGAGTGCGGCTATCAGCGTCTATTAGACCGGTTGTTGTCATAGTTGCCTCGTCATTGTCGCCATTCCATTCGCCTGTCGTCACTGCCTTATAGTTATCATCGTCACCATGCGGTTCCCTTTCAGCGAACCGATGACAAGGTTTTAGCGTAAGCGTTACCAGTCGAGAAAAGCATGAGGAATTGTGACTAGCTAGCGTCGTGGCGTAAATAAAAAATCATCCCAAACAAAATCTCCATTCTATCGCCTATTCATGGCGCTATTGTAAATAAGTCTTTCAATCCTTCGTCGTACGTCTTTAAACTGAACACCACCCGACATTATTATAGGGGAAAAACTGTTAGGTTTTTCCATGTCAGGACCTTCAGTAGCAGATGTAAAAACAAAAAAGTGACGTGTTTTTTACTATCCATGGTACAGAAACAGGATGAGCTGTTCACTCTACGTGTGATGCTATTTTTTTCAAAGGACTTTTTATGGATTAAAGAAAACCGCCATCCGTCACTTGATGTGCTTAAATTAGTAAAAATCACACGTTTTCTGCATATGCATCCGCATTCGCCCAACGTCCTGCCACAGTCTTCTCACTTCTTAACTAGTCTGTAAACGAGCTGCAATGGTAACACGGTTACTTCACACACCACTGTGTCGGGATGACCGGCTCTATTAGTCATCCCACCCACACGGTGCAGCAGATGAAAACAATTTGCCGGTCGACTCGCGTGGAACATAATAGGACGGGGCCACTAAATTAGTAAGGTCGTGTGTGCAGCTACACTTCCTGTGCCGTGCAGGCTGGTAGCAATACGGGGAAATGCAATAAAGATTATTCAACACTGTACGTTTTATGGCCGAAGACGACACATAATCTTTGTGCGTTTGATTTGAGCTGCGATTTGCTATTGTTAGTCACACACGTTTCCGATGACGAGGAGATGCTTAATAGCTCCAAAAATATTACAATTCTTTAAAACAACGAACATTTTGTGGCATACATATCGTCTCAATGTGAACTCTTCGGCTAGCGTCTCATAGCAGAGACATGAGGATTAAAAGAAAAAACTAATAAACTGCTACCCGTCGTCTGTACAAGTCACAAATTTATTCCGCGGCTGACATCTGATCACGCTCATGAATATTATACCAAACATGGGTCGTGATGACATAAAACGTGCACATAAAGTAAAAGACGTTCCAACACAGCTTTTCTCTTCAATGATGCTGCAATGGTATAAGAATGTCAACGCTGCATTTTGACTTTTCCTGAGGGTAAATGAGAGTGATAACCTACCTTTCTAAAAACTTGGCATCTTTCAATTCAATTTAGTACACTTCTACCTACTCCAAACTCCACTGCAGTGCAGTGGCATCCAACAGAGTTCATCAGCATTAGGTCTCCTTTGACCTTGACTCTCGCCCGAGGTCAGGACCCGTTTCACCCTCCTCTCGTTGCTGGCACGGTTGGACCGGACGGCTCGGCTTTGGACCCCGGTGCCGTAATGGGGAGAGCGTGCAGCCCTGGAATTTGAGCTATTCCCTGCAGCGGATCCACCCCTGAGCTGTGTGGGTGTAAGCGGGGGGGGGGAGGGGGCTAGAGGGAGGGGATGAGAGGTGAGGCCAGTACCATAACGGTAGGAAATGTGCTACAGCAACAGTCGTTATGACAATGGAGGTGTATAACAAATTGTAAAAAGAAGTCCACGAATACGACACGGCGCCAACATAAATAAGCACCGATTGGCGTCTTATTTCTTCACATAATCTTACTTATTACATATTTATTACATATCTATCCCGTATATTTATTGAGTTTAATATCAATGAAGGGCACGGTTTTTGCGCAGTGCGAATGGAGTTGGACCTGCTTGTACTTCCTAAATGTACAGTCTGTCTTAAAAGTACCGCGCAAAGTGACGGTGGGATCCATCAAGCCTGACCGAGGAAGGACCTGCTATAATTTGCAAATCACCGAACCAATTGACCTGGGGAATGGACGAGGATGTCAATTGCTTCGGTGACTTAAATTTAGCAGGCCCTTCCTCGGTCAGGCTTGATGGACCCACCGTCACTTTGCGCGGTACTTTTAACCCTCGCCGGCCGAGGGGAGGGGGGGCGGGTGCCGCCCCCCCCCATAGGGTTTTTTCGCGATAGCTCCGAACACGCTGGCGATAAAGAGCTGAAACTTGGCATACCTGACCTTTGATCCAAACCGAATCTTTTGACACCAACCGCATTTTTGGGTCAGGTCAGGTCACTGACCTATGACGTCATAAGTGAACCTCTGTACGGTCTTCAGATGTCGCAACTTCGCAACGCCCTCACTGCCAGAGGAGATGTCACAGGGAAATGAAACTTGCAGGATCTAGTATCCATTATGAGTCCCACAACTTGTATTCTCGGATTTTTCCTAAAGGTCATATGAGGTCAGGTCATTTTCGTGACCTCACCATTATAAGTCAATGGGGGAAAAATGAAAACTGCTATTCTGGCGCCGGGAACGATCTCCAACTATCTCAAGCACACAGAATCGTGATTTGATGCACTCCTTGCAAGGTTAGATGCGTCACTTTTGCAATGTTGACCTTGCGTGACGTCATTTATGACGTCATCAAGGTCATATTAGTTTTTCGTTAATAACTCTTGATCAAATTGAGCTAGCGAGTCGGGAAAGCCACCAATGGACTCAGGAAGACCTGCCGAATCGAATGATATGCGACATGACCTCTTTCGACCAGCTTCGTGACCTGGGGGTGCTGACCTGACCTTGACCTGAGGTCAACACCCCAAGTTGACCTGACCCGGACAAAAAGTATACCATTCGACGCGCCTGAGCGAGACAAACACGATGCTGCCAAAATCGGCGCTCTGCGGCCGTTTTTTGCGAAGTTATTTACCAAAAACTGAACCGTACCTTGGGGCACTTGACCTGACCTCAGAGGTCACCGGTTGACCTAGGACCTTAAAGTCGGGTACCAATCTCTGCGTCTCGTAACGGCACACACGCTCGTTTTTTCCGCGACGCGCTAGCTCCACCAGGGGCGAAACGGCGAGGGGGGGGGGTCGTACCCGCCCCCCCCTCGGCCGGCGCGTATGTAGAAAACCAATAGGTCCGGCGAGGGTTAAGACAGACTGTACATTTAGGTGTAATATGAATTACATGACGATGACATGATTCTCCTGCGTCATTCGACCATTCTCCTGCGTTATTCGACCATACACCCCGCTATTAGATCGTTACACAGTTCTCACTTGTCCGTCTTCCCCGGGGCTGACGCGGCCAATGGAAATCGTACACGTGCCCATATTGGATCCCGTATTGATGTCAGCCATCGTGGCGTGCAGCGTGTACACCAGCGATGGGGTGGATGGTGGTGGGCAGCGAATGCTACGTAGTACGCTTCATACTTGACAGTTTTGGGCAGCTATTTCTTTTATACCTAAATCTGGGTGGTTAGGTATACCTATAAAAATAAGAGATCGGTTATTTTCCGAGCGAAAGGTGGACATAAAATAAAGGCGCAACAGATTCCGAAAAGCGCATCTAGATTGCAATGTGGTTACCACCATCGTATTTTGTGTACCACCTTCCGGCGCTCCTCCCATCACCCGCCAAACGTTCACCGCCTTTCGCCCGCTGCCCATCGTCCCCGCCCACCGCCCCACTGTCCTGCGCCCATCGACCACCGCCCGTCACACGAGCTGTCTCCGACCCGTCTTTTTATCGTCCGTCGCCCCTAATCCCTCGTATCTACTACATACCTGTGTGTCTCCGACGCTATGTATTCAAGATAGCGACGATAGGTGTGGGCGTCTCCTGGTCAGGAGATATGAGTAACAGGCATGGCGCTGTGCTTTGGCTAAGGTTTGTTCACTGTAAAGAAGAACGACGCAGTGCTGTACATATTTACCGACTGATGAAATTTTGGTTTGTTTAGACTAGGACTGTTTGTGAGATGGCATGGGACAGGTGCAGAAGGGTTGCTGGCTGGCATGCACAGGAAACAAAGCAGAGGGAGGCTGCCAAACTCAAAATTTTTCCGTGAAGTGTTAATCAAAACAGGGCTGAAAAGTACTAGACTGGAGAGCACTTTAATTCGATCGATGAGCGATACTTCTCCAACCAATCATCCTACTAATTCTCGCCACCTCTCTCTCTCTCTCTCTCTCTCTCTCTCTCTCTCTCTCTCTCTCTCTCTCTCTCTCTCTCTCTCTCTCTCTCTCTCTCTCTCTCTTTCTCTCTCTCTCTCTCTCTCATTCTCTCTCTCTCTCATTCTCTCTCTCTCTCATTCTCTCTCCCTCTCCCTTCCTCCCAATCTCTCTCTCTCCCTTCCTCCCATCTCTCTTTCTCTCTCTCTCTCTCTCTCTCTTGTTCTCTCTCCCATCTATCTCCCGCCCTGCCTCCACAGTCCACACCTCTCCCCTACTCTCTTTCACTCTCTCCAATCGGTCCTCTGCCCAGTGTCCACCACCCGTCCGCCACCGTGGTCCACCGGCTCTGCCCTCGACGCAAATAGTCATCTCACTTGGCACCAGCCGACGGCGGCGGCGGAGGCTGCTGTGGCCTCGACGGGACGGGTCATCTGCTGCCAAGTGACGTCACTCCCACTGGTCGATGACGACACATCCCGTGCGATGACATGGCGCTGCTGATAGGCGGTAACTGGTGGCTAAATGGTGGACATTTGCTAAATTGACTGGATAATGCTTACATAATGAGGATGTCCGCATTTACTGTGGGATCGTTATATTTGCGCAGCATTTGAGTACTGTCGTGCTGCTGATGATGTCATTGGTTTTATGACGTCATCTAGCGTGGGAGGAGAATGGGGAGTGTTTGGCCTCGGAGTGAAGGAGTAGGTGTTTAGATGTGGGCGTTGACGAAGCTGGGTCTGTTTAGTGGGCCATTGTTGACGCCAAAAGTGTTGGATGGCTTGCTTGTCTGCACTCTGCGCAGCCGTTTCACGGAACATCTCTCGAGTCTTGCATGAAACGACCGTCACTGTCGTAACAAAAACAGCGAAGGATATATTTAAATCATTGCAGACGTCGCATCACGATGGATTGAGATTTTGTGAAGTTTGGACGTTATTCACAGCTGTAGATCTTTATGAATGTGTACTTGGCATTCATGACAGTACTGAATGGACCCCCTCCCCCCCCCACACACACACATGCACACACGTTAGATGATGTAAAAGGCCAATTATACGGGCGATGGTTAGTTTATGCATCAACAACGGTCTACGATGACTGATAAGGCAGATTAATAATCATGATGAGAGAATTCCGATCATGAGATGCATCTTTTTCACTAGATCTGAGTCTCCAAGAGATTAAAAACGCTTTTATTATGGCTTTGTGCAATGACGCACGTCCAATATACGCGGTTGTTCAGCGGCACAGTATATCTTCAGGCGCAAACAAGTAGCGACATCTAGTGACAGGTAGTAGAGATTAACTCGTAATTTGCAGATGCGTATAAACGGGCAGTATTTGGTCGTAGAAACAAAAATGTATTTTCTCTCTCTCTCTCTCTCTCTCTCTCTCTCTCTCTCTCTCTCTCTCTCTCTCTCTCTCGTCGCTCGCTCGCTCGCTCTCTCCTTCTCTTTCTCGCCCAACCAAACCAGACACCACCCGTGCCTGGTTTGGTGATCCATCCCCTTACCAACAACCGGCTCAATGTCCAATATAGAGGATTACAGCCGTCTCCAATGATCGATAACGCCCATACCTGACTCGAGTACGCTGGCTAGACACAGGGCACGCGCCCTATCGATTCCAAGTACAATGTCCTATCGTCTTCGAGCACGAGGCCCCATCGATTCCGAGTAGGTACGCGGCATCTTACCGATTCTGCTGACCAGTTACCGAGTCGTATACCGGCGGGGTGTGTCAAGAGAATCATGGTCTGGCCGAATATTTCCCATTATGCTAGGACGTTTTAGTTGATCATGCATAATTAACTCAAGTGCGCAATTCGCAATTCAAAATTTGAAGGATCGTTTCCGTTAAATTTTATTTTGATCTTCCCGAAACAACGCTGCTCCAGCCCCAACATGCACCGGTCGAGCTCCCGGACCCCGGGGCGTGGTTTAGGTATCCGGTCTGCCGCTCAGGTTCGTTCCGGTTCGTTTCAATTCGTTCCGGTTCGGGGCGCACGAAACAATACAGAAAAGTGCTCGGACTGTTTTGGCTTGGACCATGTGTCACTGACGAACATGTCGGTAAAATGGCCCAGCCCGCACGGTTTGCCGCTGACACTGGCGAATGGCGTTATAACGCAGATCGTTTAATGACAGCTGAGAGATGGGTTGTATTGAGAAGCTAATGGTTTAATGAGTGCTGTTGCGATCTCACTGTCAACAACCGTTAGTTAGCGCAGTTATCTAATACAGCAAGTCATAACTGGCGAGTCTGTACAGCGGCAACTGATCGGTTCGTTAGAGTGATAGCACGGAAGATTTACAGAGTTAAGTCCCCTAAAAACTCCGTAAAATTGAACATTCAACAATATTTTGCTACTTCTTTTACTGAATGAATATCAACTCTGTCCTATAATTTCCATCAACGATTATGGGAAATGCGGCAACGATAACCCACTATACCTAAGTGTAACGTTTTCGCATTTGTTCTGTTTACAGACAAGTCTGCGGGTGTCAACGATGACAGCTTCAGCACCTTCTTCCTGGAGACCGGAGCAGGAAAGCACGTGCCCCGCGCCGTGTTCGTCGACCTGGAGCCTTCCGTAGTCGGTACGTATGTGAACTGTCATAGAAATCGATGCATGCTGTGAAGATGAGTCTTATGACGTTATTATTTCATGCGTGCTTGTCGATATATCATCGTCCCACCATTCACATATTTTATTAGGGCTATTTGCGTTATTTGCGTTGGCTATGTACAAATAACAAATGTGTTCTTTTGCTGCATTTGACTCTCACACACGTTGCTTGCAGTTGTCGATTTTTAATTCAGTTTTCAGGCCAGCGCTTTGCACCAACCCTCCTGTACTCGATGCCTATAGCCGGTAATGTCATTTCCACCCCCTCCTCTCCTCAGACGAGGTGCGCACGGGCGCCTATCGTCAGCTGTTCCACCCGGAACAGATGATCACCGGCAAGGAGGACGCCGCCAACAACTACGCCCGTGGCCACTACACCATCGGCAAGGAGATCGTCGACCTGGTGTTGGACAGAGTCAGGAAACTCTCCGACCAGTGCACCGGTCAGTAACAGCTTATCCTGCCTGATTTCATTTAATTCGGGAACTAAAGGTCATTAGGCCTGGCGTCCCCGCTCTCTTCGAGCCAGATGTCAAGTGATAAACGGTCATGAGCTTCGGAAGCTAATACATTTAGTACTAGTCAGTAAGAATGCATGTAACGGTCAGTTGTAATGGCATTCAATATTGTTCGTGGTGCTCTTTTACCGTTCTTAAATATCAATTTTAAATATACCGTTTCAATTTGCTTGCACTTTGGAAAATGCCGACTTCATTTCAATGCTCTTACGCTTGTCTCTTTAAATGTTTGCGTAATGGAAGCAATGTTTGATGAAACATTTACATGGTATGGTACACAAGCAAGGTAATGTCATTAAAAGCCTAATTTTTTAATCCTATTTTTAATTTCCATGTTTCTGAGTTCCGACCTACGGGGAAATGTTGCTTTCCGCTGCCACCGTCCAACAGTTTATGCCAACGCGTCTTTCTTTTTCCGCAGGTCTGCAGGGTTTCCTGATCTTCCACTCGTTCGGCGGCGGCACCGGCTCCGGCTTCACCTCGCTGCTGATGGAGCGTCTCAGCGTCGACTACGGCAAGAAGTCGAAGCTGGAGTTCGCCATCTACCCTGCGCCGCAGGTGGCCACGGCCGTGGTGGAGCCGTACAACTCCATCCTGACCACCCACACCACCCTGGAGCACTCGGACTGCGCCTTCATGGTCGACAACGAGGCCATCTACGACATCTGCCGCCGCAACCTGGACATCGAGCGTCCGTCCTACGCCAACCTTAACCGTCTGATCGGCCAGATCGTCTCCTCCATCACGGCCTCGCTGCGCTTCGACGGCGCCCTGAACGTGGACCTGACCGAGTTCCAGACCAACCTGGTGCCGTACCCGCGTATCCACTTCCCGCTGGTCACCTATGCTCCGGTCATCTCGGCGGAGAAGGCCAACCACGAGCAGCTTTCGGTCTCCGAGATCACCAACTCCTGCTTCGAGCCGGCTAACCAGATGGTCAAGTGCGACCCGCGCCACGGAAAGTACATGTCCTGTTGTCTGCTTTACCGTGGAGACGTCGTCCCGAAGGACGTCAACGCCGCCATCGCCACCATCAAGACCAAGAGGTCCATCCAGTTCGTCGACTGGTGTCCGACCGGCTTCAAGATCGGCATCAACTACCAGCCGCCGACCGTGGTGCCCGGCGGCGACCTGGCCAAGGTGCAGCGTGCCGTCTGCATGCTGTCCAACACCACCGCCATCGCCGAGGCCTGGGCGCGCCTGGACCACAAATTCGACCTGATGTACGCCAAGCGCGCCTTCGTGCACTGGTACGTCGGCGAGGGCATGGAGGAGGGCGAGTTCTCCGAGGCGCGCGAGGATCTGGCCGCGCTGGAGAAGGACTACGAAGAGGTCGGTGTGGATTCAGCGGATATGATGGAAGACGAAGGCGAAGAATACTAATCCAGACATCATCCGATGTCGCGCTTCGGTGGTGCTACGGCTTACAGAATCGACAGGCCGATGCTGTCAAATCGAAGCATCCAACTCGATCATTGTGGTGTTCCTGTCACTGTGATGTACTTGCTCATATGCACTGAGATGTCATATGCTATCTGACGCAGCTAATCGTGTATGAATTGAAATTCACCTGGCCAGGTATTCGCAATGTGCACGCACGGATCGATCATCGAGATCCCAAGGACCAATAAACGTAACCCATGAAACCCTGTCGTGAAATGTTACACAGTTAGGCAGTTGACGGATTTATGATCTAGTATCGGCATTCCCTCCATTCATTCGGTCGGCTCCTAAGGTTGGGGCTCGGGCTGTGTGTCTGCTCATGCTGCAGTGTCACTAGCATCCGTCGCAGCCAACTCCGATTTACCTACCGTACTTTCCCTATACATTTGCTACACATACATGCCGTATGTAAACATTTAGACAGGTGATTCCAAGACGCTGTCAGTGGTTACTCTCAGTGATCAGTAGTGATAGCTGGCTGGAAGGGTGGGACAATCCCTGAATGAAAGTAATGCTTGGTAAACACTTGACATATTTAAGTACCAGTGGATCGTATGGAATTATGGATCCGATCGAAAACATGCCTGCCAAAAGGCGACTTCATTTGAAACCAAAAGATTAGTGGGAAAACCGAAGCTCGGTCACACTGAAATCTAGATGGCAGATTTAGTAGCTTATGTGTGATAGGTATAAGAAAAACACAACTCTGAACGAATGGTGGCTGTCACGGGTGGAACCCTGTGCGGCCGCTGGGAGGGCCCGGGCGCAGCAAATCCGCCGCCGCTAGCGGTGACCTGAGCTCCGCGGTCTGTTGCGGCTCCAAAGCCAAGCCGGCGTCGAATTTGGAAAGCTCGGGCCCTCCCAGCTCGGCGGAAAGTTCCACCTATGGTGACTGTTAATTTAAAACAAAACAATCCTGTTATAATGCAGCTGTAATGCATTGCACATGAGGATCAGAGTCCATAAAGTATTTTCTTTACTCACCCATGAAATATGGCAGCCCACATCGATGTGTATTTATGCGCAAGTGCGACATTTACGAAATCACGATATTGCCGAATGCCGTTGATAATAATTTTAATTATTTGATTTTTGTTGCGTCGGTGAGGGTTGTTCCGGTTCAAATAATTTAAAATAATCCGTTTTGAAAAAATATTCGTTTTTCAGCTTTATCTCAAAGCAGTATTATCGTGCTGCCAAGCCAACAGACTGGTGTTTGATTCATCTGTGATTGAATCGATTGGATTGAATCAAACAAAATTTGTTGAATCAAAAAGGTTTGATTCACCGTCAGGATTGTTTGATTCACAAGCCATGATTGGATCAAACGCATTGGGAATCAGGGTTGATTGAATCAAAAAAATTAATGATTCATGAAGTTTGTTGTTGTTGAGGTCCTCTGTAAGAGGTCCTCAAGGACTGTGTATCAGTATATGCTTGATATCCATTATAACCAGTAAAACGCCTTTTGGGCGAAGAACGAGCGAGCGAGATAGTGAGCCCTGCACGTGCGGAAGGGCGAGAGGGTACTTCCAACGGGCTTGTGCAAAGCACCCTTCTAACCGGTTGCTAGCGGTGTGCCAAATTTGAACGCAATCGGCCCAGCCGTTCCTGAGATCTGGAAGCGGCATTCTGCACGTGCGCACGTGCAAACGGGGTCCAAAATGACTTTTGCACGGCACCCTACTAACCGGTCCCCAACCGTGTACCAAAATTGAGCGCAATCGGCCCAGCCGTTCTCGAGATCTGGAAACGCCCCCTGCACGTGCGCACGTGCAGTAGCACCCTAACCGCAACACATGGGAATGCATTGCCTGGTGGGTGCCTACCTGTATGCCAAGTTTCACCGAAATCGCCCAGTAATTACCGAGTTACTGAAATGGGAACAAATTTGGCACCTCTTATTGTTGTATTTTGCACGTGCAGTGGGGGTCACTCACATAGATGAAGAGTATCCGACCTTTGGTAGAAAGGATGCAGCTACCCTATAAAAATGACCGCAAGACAGTCGCTCTAGCCGCTGCTGAGATATGGGCCTCTCAAAATCATTACTTTTGCAAAACTGCTTGAACACCCTTGACTTTTCACGTGGCACGTGCCACGACGGTCACTGAGATGTATCAAAAGTAGTCAATTACGGGGTAGAAGGGATGGGGCTACCCAGCAAAAAACCGCAGGCCAATCGGTCCAGCGGTTGCTGAGATATAAGCCTCTCAAAAGCGTTACAGGCCGGGCCGGGCCGGGCCGGGCCGGGCCGGGCCGCTCATACTGAGATTTTTCCGTTATATTGAAAAGACTTCGGCTGCGCTCGCTCGCTCGTAATTATCTGAACAAATTGATAAATCAGCAAGGAGTTAAGATTGGAGCCAAGGCTTGAGCATTGCTCTTACATATGCTAAGCCTTTATTGCTACTCCCATTTGAATGTTTGGCATAATTCAGGGTTGGCATTTTGCCGGCAAAACTAGTTTATGCCATTTGCCGGTTTAAACCGGTTTAAACCGGCAAAAAGTGGCAAAACTGGCAAAACTCAAAACCATTACAATGCATTGCATAGACATGCATTTGAATTGGAAACATTCTAAGGGGGATTCAGTGAAAGTTATATGCTTTCAAAAGAATAGATATTGACCATTCGACAGTGTTTCATACAATAAAAACTTTTTCATGGGCTTCCCGCTTTCCATTAGTAACCAGTACGTCTTTTTGGGGCGACAAATGAGCCAGTGCAAGAGTGATTCCTGCACATGCAGAAGTGCGAAGGGGTGCCTGCCACTGATTTGTGCACGTGACGGCACCCATACTCACTGGTTCCTAACGGTATTAGTACCAAATTTGAGCTCAATCGACGCCGCCGTTCTCGAGTACTGGAAGTGTCCCACACGTGCGCTTGTAGAAAGTTGACACCGACTGACTTATCTGCGACACCCATACTCATCTGTCTGTAACGGTGTCCCAAATTTGACCGCAATCGGCAGAGCCATTCTCGAGATCTAGTCGAAAGCGACCCCTACACGTGTGCACCTGCAGTAGGTAGCACCCTAACCGTGATGCATGGAAATGCCAAGATTCTTCGGAAATGCATTGTCTGACGGATGTCTACCGACATGCATAGACATTGCAGCCCGGGTAACTATGGGGGCAAATTTCAGAATGTTTAGCGCGTCTCTTAAACATCCAAATGCATTTGTACATTTCAAATCAATTGCTAACCAGAAAAGTTGCAAGTCTTGACTACCTGAGTTTTTGCCAGTTTTTGCCACCAGGGTTTCTGCCAGCCGGTTTAAACCGGTTAAAACCACTGGCAAAAACCAGTTTTTGCCACCCCTTGCCAACCCTATGTATTATGTTTTGCTGTTTAGTTGCAGCTTGATGTGTTGTGAGCTGTGAGTGGGGCGGAAAAAATGCCAGTTTTACAATGAGAGGAGCAAGACTGTCATTTGCTTGCATGAAAGTTAAAAGAATGTTCTAGCCCTTATAACTTAGCATCAGACATGGAAGCTATGGATCCAAGTGATGGATTTATTATCTCAGTGGATCTCAAAGCAAACTGCAGGCTCAGGCTAGGATGTATGATCCCACATTTGCATTAGATCTGAAAAATTATCCTGGATCCAGGAATCTGGATCTATGATCTCATAGGATCTGAGGATAAACCAAAAACATAGATCTATGATCTGAGTGAATCTCACCATGCACAAAATTTGAAACCAGGTTTCCAAGTGTTCTATGTCAATAAGTGCCAAAAATTATGGTTTATTGGATTATGATGTACAATCTCTTAAAACCACAAAAGCAGTGGTTTTATGAGTTATATGTCATGAATAAGTGCCATTTCTGAGTTATAACAAGTAATTTTGGGGGATTGCTGTGTTGACAAAAATCAATGAGGATCTATGATCTCAATGAATTTCAAGCAAAAAATTAGACTCAGATGTATAATTCCTATCACTATGGAACAGATCTGTCCATAAATCAAAGAGCTGGATCTATGATCCCATCAGATCTGGGATCAGGATCCATGTGATCAGATCCCAGATCTATTTTCTCAGATCCATGCACATGCCTGCTATAGCATCACATAATTTTGAGATCCCCCCATAATATATGTAAGTTGAAAAGTCATTTTCTGTCATGCAATCCATAATCTCAAACCCAAGATGGGGAGAACTTCTTTCAATGTCAAGGATAACATGGCCTTATCGGTAGACATTCAAGGGTAACAGGATAACAGGATGTCATGTGTCCTCCACAGGCATAGTTTTTTTAATTCATGCTGGAAGATTGATGCTTTCTCATTTCATGGTATACCTAACTGACAACTGGATTTTCAGATTGTTGAGTTTCAAGAAAATTACCTACATGAGTTAGAACTAAAAAGAAAGTCATTGGCTCTAACTGATACAGAATGGATGTGACGAAAGACAGTAAGTATGTTTGCACTATTTTGATTATAATCAATGCCATATAGTAGTTTATGACATTCCTTATATGCTTTAAGCTGTGTTGAATGCATTTGATATGGCTGATAATAATTGATTTATGTAATAATCACATTGTTTATTGTCAAACTAGGCAATATGTGCAGCTTCCTTATTCAGGCGTCATGCTACACCAACATACATACATACATACAACTACAAGTTGACTACCGGAATGCGGTGGCTGGGTTGAGCGCTACGCCGGCGAACCTCGGCCGCTCAGCGGTATTCAAGCCATACCACACTCAAATTGCAGGGTCATGTAACGAGAAGATGAAGAGAGGACGAGCGTTTTTTATATGGCAATCAATCAAGGTATCATATACATAATTTTCAATATTTCTTCCTCAGACTTCGCCTCCTCTCTGGAGCGGATCCGTGCTGCCATCTGCCGCAGTTCGTTCCTGGCTGTGGACTGCGAGTTCAGCGGACTGTCGACAGGTGGCAGCTCGAGCAAATTTGACACCCCAGAGGAGAGATACGCACATCTACGGCGAACGGCCTCCGGGTTCCTCGTGATTCAGTTCGGTCTGGCGGCCTTCACTCTGGAGAAAGAGAAAAACAGGTTAGATGGACAGAGAAAAGGGGTACCTAATTACATTAGAATGTAATGGTCCTGATTTATGGTGTGAGGTGGCTTGTTTCGGTGATTGGCGATGTTTTCCGAGTTTTGCTAGTTGTTACTATTCTAGTAATAACCTGGAATCCTCACAGTTTCTTGGTTTGATTTGATCACTTTAAAATCGTCATTGAAATCGGTAGCAGTATCTATAATTGATAATTGCTTTCATAATATTCCCTAATATTCCGACGGACATCGCTGCCTTCCTCATGGAATCAACTTAATAAAACGAAGAATTTATGTATGGAAAGGCCACCTTGCCATTTTTTCTGAGACTTTTCCACTGTGCGATCTCTCAGGTACATTCAGGAGACATTCAACTTCTACCTGTTCCCGCGCCACCAGAGCCAGGGCTCGTTCATTTGCCAGCCCTCCATGGAGTTCCTCCTGGAGAATGGGTTCGACTTCAACAAGCTCATAAAAGACGGTACGTACAGAGTACAGCACCGTCTGTAAAGTGGCGTGTCAGTTTGTGCGACATTGAAAGTGTTGACGGTTTATCGTGGATGCCAGTTTGAATTTAGTAGATGATACGTATTCAGTGTAATGGAATCAACCTACGCGATTGAAATAGATATCACACCGTGATGTCTTTCTTGTGCACTTTAACCTCCCATCCTTCTGTCTTCTTCTGTCCTGTTCAATATTTCATTCCCCTCTTTTTCCGTCTCTTATTTCCTTTCCTGATATGCTCATTACCCTCCTTTTCACTCCCCATACGCCACTGGGCCACTCTATCACCAATTGCATCCCCTTCTCCTTCCACTCCTTCCCTCTTGCCCACGTTCTCCCCTTCTCACCTCTCCCATTTTCCGTCAGGCATTCCGTACCTGCCGCCTGCCCAGGTCGAGTCACTCCGGGACCGACTGGAGTCTCAGCTCCGTGACTCTGAGGCGGCGCCGTCCCCGGCTCAGAAGGGTACCACCGGCACCTCGGGTACTCCTGGTACCACCCTGCAGCCGACGCCCGTACCGGAGAACCAAGCCGACTTCGTGGAACGGGCCATGTCAGTGATGGTAGGGCCGCCAAAGGGGCAGCTAGGTGGTGTGTCGTAGGTTAGACAGGGTGAAATTCAAAACCTTTGAGTGCTAAGAACCTGGTGTTCCCTTTGTCTGCTTTTTTCTTCGGCATGGGAAACATGCCGTAGTGTGTTGCTTGTTGCCTTTGAATCAAAAGTTTTGTGCATGGCAGCAATATTTATCGTAAGCATTTGTAATGTTATTGCGTTCTAATCGCTCGTGCACTTTTCTTACATTTGCTTATTTTTCACTCCATTTTTTATTTTGCAGATCGGAGATTAACAAGTTCGTGGAAGGCTCAGAAGAGTACCTAGACTTCCACAAACTCAGTCCATTCCAGCGCAAACTTCTATACGATCATGTACCAAACAGGTAGGTCACTTGGGAGCTGGGATCCGCTGTCGCAGTCATGGCTTTGAGACTAAGCTTAGGGTCGTGTAGGTAGGTAGGTATGAACTCTTCAACCAGCGTATCGTATTCCGCGTTGATAAATATGATTGAGTTGATTTGTTTACAATGAAGTGAATGTGATAGAGCTTTCATGTTCTGATTATTTATCTATGTTACTATTTGAACAGGATCCATCTGTCTGTTTGTCTGTCCGCCACGCCGTGTAGTGGGTTCAATTTAGCCGGCCTACAGGGCAGACGGTATATCGTAGGGGGTTGAAATTTGCACACCTTCTAGGTGACGTAACGGGTCAGCGCCTTTTCTAGGTTCCGACTCGCTGGGGTGCACGGTTCGCGCGTGGGTCGCGCCGGAAGAACGCCAATGAAATTTTGATCGGTTCGTAGCAGGGATGCGGAGCCGGAGCCGGAGCCGGAGCCGGAGCCGCCGGAGCCGGCATATTTTGCCCGGAGCCGGAGCCGGAGCCGGAGCCGTGAAACAATATAGCCCGGAGCCGGAGCCGGAGCCGGAGCCGTCAAAAAAAGGGGGACTCCGGCTCCTTTTCTTACGAGGAAACAATTATTTACCTAGTTCGGTTTGACAGTACAAGGCGTAAAACAATGTGGTATTCAAAATAGCCTTGTTATACAAATACAGAAGCAACGTGTACCAATCCCATCGCCTTTTTTCTTCCACCCATATTTAATTGATCGCATAGGAGATATACTGAGTAGAAGCCGGAGCCGGAGCCGCCGGAGCCGGAGCCGCCGGAGCCGGATCATTTTACTCGGAGCCGGAGCCGGAGCCGGAGCCGCAATGACATTTCACCCGGAGCCGGAGCCGGAGCCGGAGCCGATTTTTTTCTCCGGAGCCGGAGCCGGAGCCGGAGCCGTCTGAAATTTCCACGGCTCCGCATCCCTGGTTCGTAGATCTTCATTGAGAGCCGGGGTCGACAAACTTTGTGGACTAAATGCATGCCGATCGGTGGCGGGTGCCTCGCATTGGCGGATGGTGAAATTATTGATTTTGATAAATGGTGGCGAAAGAATGTGTTGATTTTCGTTCAATAGGAACAGTTTGTGATACGAGTTAAAAAATGCACCGAGTTTGCCGCAAGGCGCCACATTTGTCTCAGGGCGTCATGTTTGCCGCAGCTCGCACAGTTTTGTCAAATATGGTCCGATATGGGTGCAATTTGGTGCCAAAATGCGCCGCGTTTGTCGCAATGCGCCACATATGCACAAAGCGCCATTTCCGACAAATACGATTAAGCGTAATAGAATGGCACGAATAGGGGCAGGGCTGGGAACACTTTAAGTCTGATATTTCAGTACTGATTGGATCCAATTATTCTGTGACCTGACATGACCCAGCGGTGTTAGTAGGGGTAGGTAGGTAGTGTA